GGAAAAAGGAAAAAGAAGGAAAAAGGAAGAAATACAACTATTATTTGTATCAAGTGAATTTAGAAGGCAGAAGAGATGTCCCAATTTTTATTTCTGCCCTAAAGGATCTCAATCGAATCATTTATCCTGTCAATTAATGCATGTGATTGTTATTTTAGAGAGATTGAAAGTAAAACTATGTAAGATCATCTTAAACCTTAATTAGTTTAGCAAGATTGCTGAATAAAAGTACATCCAAAACCACTTACAGATGGACAAATTGATGAATCAACACTCAAGCCATTCACAGGGAAGAAAAAAACTAAGTGGAAACATTCAATAGATATATTCAATTGCTCTTTGAAGTGGTTGGCAATACCTAAGTGCGAGATAGAGAATAAAGAAGGTTGATTTGAGAAGGCTTAGGTGTTTCACCAATTTAAACTTGTATTTGGGATATGTACTCTCTGCCTTTCAAGTTGTAACTTTTTTGTAGAACTCCTTGGCATCTTCATATAGGAGAGTAGAGGTAAGTGGTGAGGAGGCAGGAAGTCAGAGGTGTTAGAAAAATGTTTTGATACATAATTTTTTTGGTTGTATTTGAGCCAAAATAAGGGTGGGACCGACATATTTTTTATGACGGGTCCATGTTGTATATGTGTTCGCCAACTTTTGTTTCCTCAAAACCTAAGTTAACGGGACGCGGGTACGGGTGTCGGGTGCGGGTGCGTATCTAAGGGTCGACACTTCAAATTAGAAATTAAGGATGCGTGGATATGTATCCAAATTTGGATACGGGTACGGGGATACCGTTAATAGTTCTTAAAAAATATATATATATTTATTATCAGCGCAAACACTTGCACTTGCACCAACAACTTCTTGGGCATGTTTTTGGCTCTCCAAAGGGCACAAATAAGTGTGGCATCAAGGTGTTGACCCTTGGATGGGCACACCTTGACACTCGATTAGGGCAGCGGCGCACGCATGCGTGTAGTTCAAACCTACTTTGGCTAGGTCTTCCCCCTTACATAAAACTTGGGTGCCCCTTAGAGTCCAAACCCAAGTCTAAGGAAAGACCATATAAACACGACAAAATTTTCCTATAAAACTAGTGTGGGAAAGGCTAGCTTACCATTCTTCAACCAATATCAAATGGTGATTTTAGGAGTTAATTTCTCACTCACTCCTTGATGGTTTTGAGGAAACAAAAGATGGCGAACACATTACAACATGGACCCGTCATAAAAAATATGTCGGTCCCACCCTTATTTTGGCTCAAATACAACCAAAAAATTATGTATCAAAACCATTTTTCTAACACCTCTGACTTCCTGCCTCCTCACCACTTACCTCTACTCACCTATATGAAGATGCCAAGGAGTTCTACAAAAAAGTTACAACTTGAAAGGCAGAAAGTACATATCCCAAATACAAGTTAAATTGGTGAAAACACCTAGCCTTCTCAAATCAACCTTCTTTATTCTCTTATCTGCACTTAGGTATTGCCAACCACTTCAAAGAGCAATTGAATATATCTTTGAATGTTTCCACTTAGTTTTTTTTCTTCCCCTAGTGAATGGCTTGAGTGTGTGATTCATCATTTGTCCATCTGTAAGTGGTTTTGGATGTACTTTTATTCAGCAATCTTGCTAAACTATTAAGGTTTAAGTGATCTTACATAGTTTTACTTTTCAATCTCTCTAAAATAACAATCACATGCATTAATTGACAGATAAATGATTCGATGCAGATCCTTTAGGGCAGAAATAAAAATTGGGACATCTCTTCTGCCTTCTAAAGTTCACTTGATACAAATAATAGTTGTATTTCTTCCTTTTTCCTTTTCTTTTTCCTTTTTCCTTTTCCATTTCTTCTTTGTTGTGGGAGGAGCATTACTTTCTCAAGTAACTCTCACAGCATTAAATCACAATAGTCCCAAAAGCTACATTGTAGCAAATGCTTTCAACAGGATGAAAAGAAAAGCGCTCTATTTTTTCCCCTTCTTATCTTGCAAAGACTTATTGAACAGTATGAATAAAATGAGCAATTCTTTCCATTTGCCTAGTCAATAAAATACTAGCTTGAGAGAGAGAGAGAGAGAGAGAGAGAGAGAGAGAGATTTAACCAAGCTGGTGAAAAAAGACACGCACACAAATCTGTTTAACTTCAATTGGCTTCTTCAACAACTTAAAACCACTGATAAAATACTCTGAGAGAGAGAGAGATAACTAAGCTGGTGAAAAAAAACAAGCACACAAATCTGTTTAACTTCAATTGGCTTCTTCAACAACTTAAAACCACTGATAAAATACTGAGAAGGCCAAAAGAAACACAAATTATTATAAATAGTGCAATTTCATGGTATACATACTTTATGATTTGAGAACATTTCCGACTATACATGTCAAATAATCGAACTGTCCCATCCTCGCATCCAACCACAGCCTCTGGATCTACATAACTGCAGGAGAAAAAAAATAAAGAATAAAAAATAAAAGAAGAAGAAGAAGAAGAAGAAGAAGAAGAAGAAGAAGAAAGTATATGTATGTGTATATATATTGAAGACATTATTCTCCGTCGACAAAAGCATGTTTTGCCAAATAAAAACCTAATTCAAGTGCATGAGTTCATGCAGAAATGGAAAATATAAGAGCCTACAGGCATAGTTTTCATAAAACAGTTCAGTAATATGAGAACTGTGAAAATTTGAGAATATGGAGTTTTGGCCATTTTAGTGAAACAGAAAACAGAAGAAAAACAATTTTTAGTGTTTTCAAGTTGTTGTGTTTTCTGTTTTCTGCAGCCCTGAGAACAGAAAACAGTTTTTAAAAAACTCTGCCAAACACAACCTTCTACTAATTAGGGCTATGTGGATCAAGTGAACAAATTTTGTAAGTACTACATGTAATAATGAAAGTTGGTATTGTCATACAACGAAATTATCACGGAAATAAATGGTAATCAACAATCATTTGACTGCAATTGTAGCCATAAAGGTCTAGGATAAGAGTTTCTAGGAATTAGGCCTCATTTGGCAAGTGGCTTTTTTAGCCAAAAAGTCACTAAAAAAACCAAAAAGCCAACAACCCACACCAAAAAGTCAAAGATTCCCTTTTCTCTCTAATTTTTGCACATCTTTTCTCTCTAAGGTATCTAAAGTACTTAAAGTGCTGAAAAAGGCATACTATATCAAACCAGTTTGTCACCCAGTCTGAGACTGCCACCTTCACCAACACTGCAGCACCCCCACTGAATTACCACTATCACCACTGAAACCCAATACATACAACCCCCCTGCCCAACATTTCCAAAGAAAAAAATTCTCTTCCATCAATACCAGAACCATTAAATCATGAAAATGCATTACGTCACACCCACCCGTAACCCGTTTTAAGGTTACAAATCCATAATAACTAAGAAGTAAAATGGTAGGCTGATATATAAAGATAGTGTTGTCCTGCTTTATGTTGATCTTTACATGGTGGCTTGTTGCAGAACATTTGGACCCTAATAATGTTAAGAATGCTGAGCTGAGGAAGGCATTGGAAGCAACAGCAGAGCAAAACTACTTGAAAGCATGTGATACACGTCACCATCGTAGTAAAGGACTCTAAAGGTGAATAACACTTCAAGTCAGTCGCAAAACTTTCGATGTCATTTTGAAGTGTTGCTGCTTGCTCATATGTTTCCTGAAGCATCTAGAGGTTGGATGAGGAGGGCTTTACTTCAATGCTCTATGACCCAAGAGGTTTTTCTAGTAACGGGGTAACCCAATTTCATATGTGGACATGGCAGCTTTTCGGGGATGTCTAGACAGAGGCGTTGCGGCTAGGAGATAAATGAAGACAGATTGTGATGTTGATGTTGAGGTGTTGCAATCTTCTACTCTCTCCCTATGTGGACGTACCAGAGTTTCTGGATTGTTGCTTGGTGGATTTGGGGAACACAGATATGGATCCTATGCCGGTGGCAAGTGATCTAAAAAGGTGGGATGACCATTATTGGGAAGTCCCAATGAGGGTGTAGGTTCTAGATGGTTAAGGTGCCTCCTACCTTTTAATGTTCCCATTGGAGGAGATAAACAGGATCTTATAGACGGAGTGGATCTTTGCAGGGCAACCTTTGATGCTCAACTAGTGGTCTCTAGTGGGGTGCTGTTAGGGACCAAGGTTGGCACCACGGGAGGATTCGGTTAAGGTTATGTCCTTGCCGGCTCACTTGTAGGAGGAAGTCTTCCAAGCTGTGGGGGATTCGTGTCAAGGCTATTTGGGGGTGGACGATGATACTGCATTGAGGAAGCACACTTGAGGGGTGCTTTCTTGTAAATCAAGGGGGATGTAGGATCCCGGTGTCGGCGAAGATCAGTTAGTGGTTTGACGTTTGTGGTTCCTCTTTGGACGGAGTAAGGCCCAAACATCAAGTTTCAGTGTTTACCAAGTGGGAAAAACACTACCAAAAATGAGACAATGAAAGTATGTGAAGGGTAGGGGACAAAGGTGCAAATGCAGTGGACACATGGCGGATTTTGAAGCAACAATTTATATTTTAAACAAAGGTGTGGTACAACTGTTGATGGGTATAGAGATGGATAATCTGCTACATAGCTGATAAATTTTAACTCCAATCAAGGCCCGAGTCCAATTGGATCAGGGCAATGCCTTTATACCTATGGCCAATATCTTTGTTTAAACCCTTCGTTCAGCTTCACACTTAGTGGTATATACTTCTTGAATGATTACTAAACATTTTAACATTAATTTTTGGCACTACTCCATCCAACCTTATAGTTCCAGCAATATTGACTTTCTGAATATGTTACATATTTTGTTAATCACTTTTCACTGCCTTACGGTAAGGTTTCAATCTTTTTTAATTTTCAGGAATTTTAGAAATATTTAGTTCATATTTGTGTGGGAAAATAAAATAGGAGATGTATAGTGTATATGGAACTACATGAGATCTGCTGAGACAAGGGCAAAAACTGATATTAACATAATGATCAGCTCCTGTCTTTATGGTGAAAAAAAATTATGCAGTAAAAAATTTCTTCATGATAGCCAAGTTCTGAAAAAGAGTACGTTAATCTTTACATCTTGGATTCTTCGCCAAGAGTTGTATATATTTTCAATGAAACATACGATGTCGGCTGCAAGAAAGGTTGGAGCCACCTAGTTTAATATATACTGATTTTAAACTCTAGCAATAATAAGATCAGGGTATAATAACAAAACGAACCGCATACATAAACCCCTTGTAAATAGGCCTTCACGTGAGGAAAATATATTTCTTTTCCCATTTCGCCTCCATATGCATATACGAGTCCCAACCAAACCAACAACCTACAAAAAAAAATAATAAAGAAATCTAATTGTTATAAAGTATGCACAGGTTCCAATTGAATTATTAAATAAATCCGTCCATAATACTACAACAGTTTAATCCTTCGAGTACAGAGTTATTTTCATAAGCTAGTGATGTATGTGATGACACTGACATCAAAGAATGCTGGTTTAACTCCAAGGAACCAGTCTTCAAAGCATTAGGATAGTATTGTATGTTGTTTGTTGTTTCTCTTATAAGCAAATATTAAATTAAAAAAGGTTCCAATGGGGCACCACTCAATTACACAAGCAAACAAAAGATGATCATCTACATCAGCTCAAGCCTCCATGACAGTTGAAAAGACCATAAAAAAGCGACAAAAAATTGACCTATCCAATACTCTAAGCAATAACCTAGGGCAGCCATGCCAAGCCCCTCTACCTCCCATTCCAACCCCCTTTTCTCTACTATCATAATTGACGGTGCTAACTGTTGAAATTTAATGTATAAAGAGAAATAGAGAATTGTATTATTGATTGATGTCTTGATATATTACAATGATTCCTATATATAGAAGAGAGGATGTGGGAAGAGAATAGGTGAGTGTGTAGTAGGTATGGAGTAGGTGGAGAGTAGGTGAAGTAGGTGAGTGTGTAGTACTCAATTACACAAGCAAACAAAAGATGATCATCTACATCAGCTCAAGCCTCCATGACAGTTGAAAAGACCATAAAAAAGCGACAAAAAATTGACCTATCCAATACTCTAAGCAATAACCTAGGGCAGCCATGCCAAGCCCCTCTACCTCCCATTCCAACCCCCTTTTCTCTACTATCATAATTGACGGTGCTAACAAAATTCTTTAACTCCCTTCCACTTCTAGATTCACTTCCCCCACTCCTTGCAACCATAGCATCCATATTTTGGCCTCTTTTTTGCTTTGATTGTGTCACATGTCCACATTGAACAAGAGACTCTAGCCGTAATAAAACAAGGTGAATAAATCTTCACAAGACATTAGGAGTGTTTGATCTTTCATATTTTTGGGACTTCTTATTTATCAAATTTTTGTTTGGGATGTTTCTATTTTTGGGACTTCTTTTTTGCTTTGTTTGTTTGATCTTTCTATTCATATTTTTGGGACTTCCTATTTTCTTGAGATACTAGTTGTTGAGTTTTAGGCGAATAGTTTCATTCTATTTGTATTTATTGTAATCATCTACTACATTGCATGGAATCAGGTACGAGTCTCAGGTGCGGGTATGTATCTAAGGGTCAGACTCAGCAAATCTCTAAATGAGGGATACATAGGTACGTCTAAAAAGTATCCAAAATTAGATACAGGTACGTGGGTACGGCAAAACAAAGATATTAAATATATTTTTAAATAAATATTATGTATTTTTTCATAGAATTATAATAATTTGATATTATAAATTTTTATAGTAATATTACGTATTTTTATAGTGATGTTACCACATATTGTGGTTAAAAAATATTTAAACCAAAAACGTGTAACATTACTAAAAAAGAATAACATTATTTCTAAATCACAAAATTGTCATAACTCTAAAAATAAAAAAATAAAAAAATAAAAATCTAATATTTAAAATAACAATATATAACATGTATTATAAAAATAAGGGCACATATATAGAATGCAAATAGTAGGTGCCAGCTGCCTCCGCAAGTTCCAACACACTTAAGTTATTATCTCTTTTTGATCTATTTTCCAGTCAAAGCAATAAACAACTATTTTCATATCAAACAACTAAAGGAGACCAAAGGGGAAGACAAAGGAACACCAAGAAAGATGAAAGGAGACCAAGCAAAAGTCATCGGAATGCACCGACGAAGCAAAAAATGTTGAAATAAGCCACCGGCGACTTCAACTCTACTTCAACCTTTCTGGTGACCTCAACCTTCAACTCTGATTCAACATTCCATGTTTCTTTTCCTTTCTCCTCAAATCAAGTTGTGAATTTTTGTATTTTGTTGGTTTGTTTCTTCTCATCTATGTTACCTTCTTCCTATTCAAACCAAGAACAAGAGATAAATTTTGTAACAAAATATTACCCAAACAAAAATATTAGAACAACCAATCAGCCGTATCCGTTTGTATTTTGCCGTATTGCGGTCATATTATATACCCATACCCGTACCCGTACCTGTGTTGTGTCGACATGGGTACCTCTAAAAAATCAACGAGTCCGTGTAACGTAGATCATCTAAGAGACTCAAATGATATGCAAAAAATCACCAAAACTTAGTGTTGTTAGAGGATTAAGGTTTCCGTCAAAGTAAACCTATTTCCAATTTATCTAGATTCTAACACTATTTCTAGTAACGAAGTTTTGTTCTTCTCCATCAAAAATAGATAGACCCAAAAACAAAAGCCTCAGCTTTGCAACATTCAAACGTAAGCATTTTGGTAATAGAGTCAACCGCCAAATCAAGTATCGGATTGAAAGCAACCTATGCGAGTATGGGATCTAATGAGTTGTGATTTGCAATTGTGTCATAGAAGGGAGGGTTGCTACCCGTAAGATAGAGTACACGAAGTCACCTAGCTGGGAATGATGGGCCACTAGGACGTCAGCAACAAAGCATGGTGGAATGTTATGATCCTACATCGGTTAACAAATCGGTTTTCAAGGGTGAGTTCTACCCAAGAGTTTGTACCATCGTAGAGAAATTTCTAAATGTGAAATATTTCAACACATTTTGAAATTCATGTTACAAATGTACACTATATAGTTTTTGGACCAAACAATGTTGATTATTTGATAACAAGCTCCTATTTCTTATCTGTATTCTAGATCGTTAATTACACATTTTAATCCAAAAAACCTCTGATTAGTGAAGCACATAAAATTTGATAGAAGGAAAACTTAAGGAAAAGAAATATTTTTATTGGATTGCCAGGGTTTAAAACCCCTAAATATACAAGGTATAATTGTTGGGCTTGAAACCTCTACCTATTGCTCGCCATTATATGTTTGTAGTGTAGGCTCTTGAGTTCTCTCTTCTTTCTTATGAAGACTTCTTTGACTTCTAATTTCTCTATCTCTCTAGTCGATCTCTGATTTCTCTTTGATTTCTCCAATTCCTGATCCCTTTCTTTTGTGTGATGGTTGCCATATTTATAGAAGTCCATTCATGTGATAAGAGAGCCTTATCTCAATTTCAAATTTCAAATTGTTATGATAACACTGTGATGTTATCATAACGGACTAAGTTGATTGTGTTGATCTTCCAGATTTTATACCTTGTAGTGTTCTTGTAGGCTCCACAGGAGTCATCCTTTGGTTCAGAGTATTCTAATTCAAGTCTTGTAGGCTTCACATGTGACTTGAATATTTTGATTAACATTTTTAAAATATGACGTTATTGTACCCTATCATATACTTCAATGGATCATATTGATGCTTTTAATAAGTGATTTCCTACAACATTTCTACCGTAGTCCCCTATGTGTCATCGACTGATTGACCTTGTCATTCTCCACATATTTGTTTGTTTAAGAGAAATCAAACTCAGGTTGTGATTAGGTTATCACTCCCTTTTATATTGATAACTAGAAACTTATTGTTAGAATTTACCAATTTACTCCTCCACCTACCATCTCCACTAGCACCCACTTCACCTACCACCTCCACTACACTACACCTACTACCACCTTCTCTTCTATATATAGGAGTTGTAATACATAACACAATATCAATCAATCTTGTAAAATCATCAATCAATAAATACATCAATTTATTTTTTTACATGATGTTCAAAACAAAGAGATACTAAGTTAAAAGTAACCCTACCTCAAACAAAGAGCAAGAAAGATAGACTTCAATGAGAATCCCTTTTGAGAAATTGGAATCCAATCAGTAGAGATTAAGATCTCTACGTGTACTACGCTTCTTGTAGGTGATTTGGGCTTAGATCTTAGAGAAATGAGAGATATTTGGGGTAGGAAACTTAGGGTTTTCAAAGAGAGGGAGAGGAGAAAGAAGATTGAAAGGAAAAAGTGATGAAATGATCCAAAAAGTTACTTTTTAAATTGTTGACTTCGTGCAGACCGCTCGAGCAGTGAACAACATCTCTCAGTACTTTTATATGCAAAACAAGATATATGGAGCCCTTTGTAGAACTACTGAATGCTCTCATTCTTCGCTCGAGCAGTACTTTCACCACTCGAGCGGTCACATGGAACAAATGTTACAATATCATTGTTTGAAAAATGTTGTGAGAAGGTTTGAATTGCGAGCTCTCGCAATTTTGGTAAACTCGTTCCACTCTATTTTTATTTTCTTTTTATTCTTGTTAATATAATAGTATCTGTGTAGTTTTTATTTATTTATTATTATTATAAAAAAAACATCTCATATATATGTTGCATGCATATTTGGTATCATGATCATCTTGGTCATTTGGTAAGCATTGATTCTGATTCAGACACATTGTTTGGTAGTCATTTTGAGTTTGAAACTGATTTATTTGTACACCCTCACACACCTGACACGATGGCAAATAATGGCGGTAATGAAAATGAGGAAAATTAAATTCAAATGGCCCAACATGTTCGAACCTTGCGTGATTATTTGCAACCCACAAGGGGGTAGTGCTCCATATTGTATTATTTTTCCTCCAAATACAAATAATTTTAATTTTAATCCAGGCATGATACGAAGTTTTCTTCTTCTCCATCAAAAATAGATAGACCCAAAAACAAAAGCCTCAGCTTTGCAACATTCAAACGTAAGCATTTTGGTAATAGAGTCAACCGCCAAATCAAGTATCGGATTGAAAGCAACCTATGCGAGTATGGGATCTAATGAGTTGTGATTTGCAATCGTGTCATAGAAGGGAGGGTTGCTACCCGTAAGATAGAGTACACGAAGTCACCTAGCTGGGAATGATGGGCCACTAGGACGTCAGCAACAAAGCATGGTGGAATGTTATGATCCTACATCGGTTAACAAATCGGTTTTCAAGGGTGAGTTCTACCCAAGAGTTTGTA